TTGTGATAGATGCTTCCCCAGATTTCCAGCTGAATTTGGAACGCAGCAATACTGATGATTCTGGAAAATATGTACATTGTACGTCTCAGCTGAGAGCAGCAGATTTGTGCTTTTAAGTCATATTTTCCCGTAAAATGACTAAGATACCACACTGTAAGTCTTTTGAGCAGTAACAAAACTTCTGCGTTCTTCTGACCGTGCCTAATTCCACTGAAATCATTAGCAAATCTTACACTGGGGCATAAGGGGAAAAAGATTAGAAACCACAACAGGGCATATAACATATTTAAATAGGGTCATGTTTTCGATCATACACTTGCTACAGGGAGCTGGGAATTCTGAGACTTCAGCACAGCCCAAGAGTTTTATACCAGCATTGTATTTAATGTCCTGACAAGTTCAATGTAAAATGCCGCAGTCCAAATAACACAAACCAAACCTGTGACTACGCTCATTATGCTGAATTGGAAATAAATAGCTTTGAGTGAGGTAGATGAGTTTCTAGCTCAGTAAAGGTGGTTTTTTTGGTTTTTTCCAAGGAAAACTGTGATTATCGAAGGCTGAACTTAGAGGGTAGACAACATAAAATGTTAGAACTTTATCATGGATCTGTGTCGCACAGTTGTGGTACAGTTTCTGGTTTTGCTGAAATCAGTGGCAAAGCCCTATTTTAAGCTGGTGGCATAAGAGCCATTGAGTGGGCCTACAATCTCATGTTGTAAATTTGTAATACTTTACACTGTGTTTACTGAAAGGAAAGAGAAATAATGATCTCAGCATGCCATCTGCCAACTCTCCGGCTGAATGGAACAGACTTTGTCAGTCAAAGGGTGAGCTGTGTCTTTAAATGACTGTTGTGGTTTGGGTTTTTTTTTTATTCTGGCTTTTTGGGTTGCTTAGTAACAATATTCTGTGTGCAAATTTATAGCATCTGCGCAGAATGTGAGGTGTTAACGTGTTTGTAAAAATCAAGAGTCCAATTAACGTTTCCTCTGCAGAGCCCTAAAATTAAATGGTTCCTTTCTTTTTTTTCCTCTTCTACAAATTACCTGCTTTTAGAAAAAGTAAAGGCAGATTTGTGTCTTAGAAAGTGATAAATCATAAATTTGCATTTCAGTACTTCTCAAATACGTAGCTAGTGTTTCCAGATGGAGAATGTAGCAGAATTAAGTATCTTGCAAAACATAAGTGGCTTCCAAAGGTCATGTAATTCTGTCGCTGTAGTTAGTAGCAGCACACAGGGTAATGTCTGTGAGCGATTATGTATCTTCCAATTAAACCACTGAACAAAGCATTCAGTGTCAGAAATCTTACTTGAGGACTTGCAGAACTGTGTTAGGAAGACTTAAAACAGACAACCAGGTAACACTTCAACAGACTTTGTACTCCATCCTTTTGGCTCCCTGTAGCAGAAGGTCCACTGGAATCTGTCCTGCTATTCAAAATCTATTCAAAAATAGAGAAAGCTAATACAGGATGAGTTGGACCAAGCCAGCTGCTATAAGGAGACATACTGTACAGTCACTGAATAGTCAGTGGAGAGAAAAAGGCTCTCCCAGACAGTAAGTCATCTGCTGTCTTTTAGGTACGTGTCTTAGGGTGAGATGAATCACCTCTCTTTCTGTACTGACTGAGCCAAACGTGGCTAGACAACCTCTCACTTTCAAGGCAGTAAAAGTTGGTGAGATTAATCCCACTCCCCAAGATTTTTTTTTTTCCTGATGATACAATATATTTTGCCTTTGATCTGTTTTGGCAAATGAGACATTTTAGAGGGAGGCATCTGCAGCATTCCTGACTCAGACAAGGTTCACATTGACTCCAGTGGGAGAAGAGGGTGAGAAAACACTGCAGGACTTCTCTTCCAGTAAGCAAAGTGTTTTAGTGTTCCTTTTCCTCATTAGAGACAGTTTGTTCTACCTTGCCATTGCCTTTAATCACTGGCTAGAGATGATGCCAGCAGACAGTTACGCATTATCCCCAGGGCCCATGGGTTGTCACAATAAATTCTGCGAAAAGGCGTAGTTTGATTAATGTCTACTGCGGGAGCTGAAGCCATAGCTCTGTGACAGAAAAATACTATCCATCAACTATTGCATTCTTCCTTTTGTTTGGCAATGTAATAGTTCCGTCATTTCATCTGTAATGCAAGCAGTTGAGCTGATGCCTGGCAGAGCCACAGCAGAGAAGGGACCTGGCCCATCTCTGTTGCTGCCCCACAACTGCTTCCCTGCCTCAGCCCCTTCAAAAGCAGCAGGAGAGAGAGGACTGAGCAGGAGCGAGAGGACTGAGCATGAGCCTCGGAAAGCTGCCGGTAGGCTTTTGGACTCCTGCCAGGAGCTAAGGGAATGGATCAACCCCATCCCTCCTCCCCTGACTATTTGTAAAATCTATTCCTTATATCTCTCAGCGTCCTATGTAGCTTATATTTTAACTTGGCAGCTGTTAAGACTCTTGGTGGAATCAGTTTAGCTGTTTACTAGTACACCCTCCCACCACAGGCAAGAATCTTGACAGCTCAAAAGAGCTTTATAGATAATGTAGACAAATTGCTGAGCTCCGAGTCCCACCATGACCGTGGTAGAAATTGTCCCTAGCTTTGAGTGACGGGATGGATTTTCAGGAATCCAGGTGCTTGTCTGGTGTAAACACTGTGCGAGGGATCTTGCTGGCCATGTGCTTCACAGAGTCTGCCAGTGACACCAGGCTGCTGTCATGGGCTCCGAACATCCAGAAGTCCACGTGTCCATTGACTTCATTAAACTGTATAACACATATGCAAGCCTGGTATCTTCCAAAACCTGTTGGACTTGCTACTGATGTGCTCAGTCAGCACTGTGTGTATGTGAACAGCCCCAGCACCGTGGGGAATCATCATTTACCCTCCATGCTGTGAATAGCCTGTGCATTCGGTGTGTCCCTGGAGATCCTGGGCTGGCTTGCTAAACCTGTACAAGTGCAGACCACAAGTATGACCCATGGCTTAGAGAATATTTGTCTCAATACAAAATGAGAGACGACATAAAAACTGTTAGAGGACTACAGGGAAACATTAAAAAAAACATAGAGGGCAGTCAATCGGCTGTTACTCTTAGCATGCCGGCAGTTCTAACTTCGCTGCAGTTCTGCTGACCTTATGCGGGTTTTTGGGAGGGTAATGAAGTAGCTCGCAACTGCCAAGGAGGGGAAAGCTCAAAGTATTTCATTTGAGAATCAAAGAACTCTTGTGATAGGGCTTGTTGCCCTGGGTTGATCGGGGTAGAAGTTAACATCTTTGTGCCAGATGAGAAATGTTAAGCTGGCTGCGCTATATTCTCAAGAGCAGTTTGAAACAGAGAAGGAAAAACACTGATGGTCAATGTGATTCCATGCACAGGCTGTTTTAAATTGTTGAACGATCCCTTTCTGTGGTGTAAGGATCCCCTCTGCATGGATCAGTGGCAGAATGAGGCCTCCGGTGATTCATGGTAGGCATAGACATTCAGGCGGTTTCCTCTCCAGAATTTACATGGGATGGATGTTTCCCAGTCTTTGCTCTAAAGAAAATTAATGTGAATTCTTGCAAACACAGTCTCCTTTCTTCAGCAGCGCAGTACTTAACAAACCTACTGCTATCACACTCAACACATTCTGCATGAAAGCATGATTTAATACGCTTTTTAATGGCAATTTCCTATGCCACGTGCCTCATTGTATCAGTAAACATGTTGACAAGAGCACAGCTGCCTTTTGCAAATTAACAAGTTCACCCCTGTGTGAAAAACCAGCTCTTTTGAGGCGTAGCACAGCCATGGTGAATAGTGGTGAGCTGGGCTTCTGCAAATGAATTGGCATTGCTTCTTAGAGCACTGCAGCCAGATTTTCTCACTTTGACATAATAGCTCCACATAATTCTCCTTTCCTAGCTCTGAGTTACCTTTTTGACAGCCTCTGCGTGAGGCACTGGATTTGCTTCTGACTGATTGAGGCCAAGTAAATCGCAAATCACACTGTCACATCTGGGAATTCATGAGTTTGCAGCTCTGTAAAATTATTTCACCTCCATGAACTGACAGGCCAAACCGTACCATTTGTTGGAAAGAAGACCAAGGTTTGGCAAAATCAGATTTTATGTTTATTGGTTTTATCTGATTTAATAATTTTGAAGTAGAAAATACTTTTTCTGATTATAGTGGAAGCACTTAAGTGAACCGGTTACATTTCCAGTAGACTTTAATAACGTATGTTACATTTCACACTTTCATGTAAGGCCTATTAGGAAAATAAAGCACAAAAGTATTACTTGTTCCCGTCTCCCATTGTGGAGCTTCAGTGCTTTAGAAAGCCCAGAAATGATCCTTTGCTTTTAAAATGCTGTTTTCTGTAAGCAAATGATTTAGCTGTATATTTGGGTCTGTGTTCTCCTTGTTGCTGTTATTCTTCATGAAGCAGCCCAGCTCTCTTCCAGTCCTCAGCCTGTCATTTCTTTTGTACGTCAAGTTTTCCACTGCCAGAATCTGTCATACCTCATCCAGTCAGTTGTCCCGGGATGGTTTTTCGTGGCTGCAATTGTGCATCTTGCTGCCCATGAGATAATTGATACAGTCCTGGAAGTCAAACATCCCTTTTGATGGCATGTAGAGCTAGTACCTTCCCTCCTTCTAGGGAAAGTTCTCACACCTGTATTTTTTTAGTCAGAGGCTGGACTGAAAACTTCTGTTGGGGCAAATGTAGTAGTTAATAGAGATCCTGGGCATAGATTAGGCATGGTTGTAATATGGAAGCAAGGGTGCTGTGAGTGAAGGCTGGCATACCCGTATTGAACAGACCGTCTCCAATCTTTCAGGGGAGATATAACATGCTGGTCGGTGAGTTTTTCACTTCCTTATCCAGGATGTTTTCATACAAGGTAATTACCAAAATCCAGGAATAGGAGGGTTGTTCAGGGCTGTTTAAAATACTCTTGTAATATTCATGTGGCATGACATGGTAACAGCCATTTTTCCTATGACGTCCTGCAGGTGGTGTCTGTGTGACAAGATACCCACTTAACAATGAAAAAATTCACACTGTTTGATTTTGTAAATGATAATTCACTGCAAATTGGAGAGACTTCATGGATACAGGACCTTCCCAGTGATGACAATGAACTAGAAAGGCTTCTAAAACCAAACGAGCACGTGCTAGTAAACTGGCCTGTGGGAGAAAGACAGACGGAAAAGCACCTGGTGAAAGTTGTGTACATGAGTGGTGAGTGCAGTTCCAGAGCATTTTTCTGAAATTTTAATCTAGTTGTCAGGTATTGCTACCTGATTTTCTGTGCTTTGGCTTTTTTTTTCCCCCGTCACTTCAGATGACCCCCAAGAGCTGGTGGAAATGATGCAAAAGATATTACGAGCGGATGAAATTACAAAAATACAAGTCCTTGGAAAAGGCAAGAGGAAGAGGATAGAAATGATATTCTCAGAGAGTGAAGACAGTGACCTAGATAAAGATCAGGTGAGTCTCTGTCTTCATGTGCCTGATATTGGTAGGCCCATAATGGAATGAAATAGACCATAACTACCAATTTTTCACAATATAATACACAAAATATGTATAGTAAAAGTAGGAATACAGACAATCTTCACATGGTATCCCAGCACAATAACCTCTCAGAGTAATTAGTTAGGCAAATAGATTTTGCCCTTTGCTATTTAAAGAGAGAAGTGTTACTCAAGGCTTGGATGCTCTGTAGCTCCATTATGTTTTCTCCCATAAGACAGAAATCTGACTGCTGCATAGGGAAGGCACCCAGTTTTCCGAGCTTTGCATTGAGCTGAGATCTGCAGTGACAAAATGTGGGGAAAGAAAACATAAATCTTAACAAAAAGTCAAAAACTTATTTTTCAAAAATACTAACCAAGAATGCCAAGTACGCAGTGAATAAAAGTTTATGGTATACCATGAGATATGGTAATGAGAGGCTCTATAGGAATGCAAAGGCACTGTTATGCTCTTGTTTACAGGGGAAGATGATGAAGCATATAAAAAGAAAGAAATCATTACAGGCATCTGCTCCTGCCAACATCCTGAGTAAACTTGAATCATCTTTAATTAACAAACAGGTAACATCGTATCTTCAGCAATTTTAATGTATTAAGCAAAAGCAAACTGAAATGTGTTTGTTTAGGGGGGCGTAAGACTTTTGTTTTCGTGAAGTTAACGGTTCTAAAAGACACTACCTTAGAAAACTGGTGAATGGAGAAGAGAGAGAGAGAGAGAAGTACCTAACGGTTTTGTATTACCCTGACATTTCATTTTTAATTTTAATAGGAAAGGTAGTATCTATGTTCAAAACCAGCTATTATTAAAATGCACCAAGTCTGTTTATACATTGTGTACAAAGAGAATATTCTGATTCAGCCAGATATTTTAATGTTTTAATGCTTTAATTTTATGTTGTTGTTACGCTAGATAGCACGTTTCGTTTTGTTTTTTTTTTTTTTTCCAGAGAGAAACATATTCAGGAAGCAACTTTCTGTACAGTGAAAGTAGCAGTGATGATGAAGAGCCTTTATTTCAACTATCCAAGGTAGAGCTGTGTGCCAAAATAAAAAGCCTCAAGAGGAAGCTGACAGACACCATGAGAGAAAACTGCCGCCTAAGGCAGTCCCTGGTGATGCTTCAAGGTAAAGTCAGGGGAAGTATGTTGATGAAGAGGAGAGCCTGAAGGTCATGAAAAGCTTGATTTATAAGAGGCCCTTCGGATGGGAATTATGGATGCTCAAGCGCCTGGCATGATCAAGGCCTACCGTTAGCATTGAAGTCTTTGATACATGGCAACATTTAATTCCAGCAACACTTAGAATAAACTGTCCTACACGGAGGCCATGCAATCATAGAGTTAGAAATGGAAAAATCTGTCTAAATCCTGTCAGTCCCGAGAGGACCTTTCTGTATGCTGTGTATAACCATCAGCTAAGCTCAAACACTCTGCTGACGAGTCCAACTAACCTTATTTATTAACAGTTATTCTTGGTCTACTGAAATTTTCTTTATAATTGTATTTATAATATAGTAATTCCTCATTATTGATAATCTGAGTTAGTTCCAGGTACAACAAATTGAGTCCTTTCCCAGAGGTGAACCATTTTGTTCTTTTATAAATGAATCTTTCGTCACTTAGTGATCACCTCTGAAGCTCCTCTTACTTGTCCCCATCCCTTTCTCTGGGGCAGACAAGACTAAATCCAAAATCTCAAAATATTAATGAATAATAAAGCTTAAAGAGGATTTGTGACTTCTTGCTAGCTATGTCATATCATCCCTAGACAGCCTAGCCTCTTTTTATTGTCATATGATTTTGAAAGTGCTTATCAGTTTCATTGCCCACCTGATTCTGTTACAGATGTTATTCATCTTGGTTTGAATCATTCATCTCCACTTTTCTGAATATTATTTTTAAACATTTTGTTAGTGTCCAACAACTCTTAAACATTTAGGTCCATTTGCCTTACATCTTAAGCACTTGTATTAATCTTTGACAGTATTTTCTAATAATTCAGTGATTCTGTATCTTGCTGATTCTTGAGCCCTTGCATCCTTTTTGCTCTGCTGAAATGATTCTTCTCAATGGACTCAATAAAAGTTTATATTTGACAATAAATAGTAATTGGAGAAAGGGCCATTTAAAAGATATTCTCTATAGATTAAAAAAGAGGAAAAAAGTCTATGCAGTCTACGTAACTTCTCTGAATAAAAAAAAAATCAGACATAATGTTACTTGGCCCATATTCAATAGCTTTACTTGTAGAGATTTTGAGATAGCAAAAAGAAAAAAGAAATTGGCAGCTTACTGCCATGATGAGCGTAAAATAATGGTTCCTCTTAGCCTTGCAGAGAACTGCTCTTCCCTATTCTACAGATCTTCATGGGTAGGGACAGCAGAATGGCAGGAAAAGCTTTGAGAGAACAGGAAAAAAGCACATTAAAGCGTTTTTGCCATCTACTTTTGACTCTCTTGCAGTACGATGGGAATCCAATTACAAACATATACATCCTTACATAATTAGAGTCTGAAAGCTTCAATTACTTTTACCCATCACTTTCCGTTTGATTTCAGTGTTGCCACAGGCAGTCACCCATTTTGAGGAACTGGTAGGGATGGCTGAAGCACTGCTCAAAGGGGGAGTGACATCATCCACATCCAGCCTGCATTCACAATGTGTTTGGAAAGCATCTAACAATCCGTTAGCAGATTCGTATGCAGCTGTGCATAGTAACTCCAGCTCACCAATAACTCTGAATGTGGAAGATGAGGAGCAACAGACCGAAAAGCAGGTCAGTTAAAAGGCAATTTCAGACTATACACAGTACCAACTTTATGTTATAGTATAACAAATACAAAAAAATAAGCATCAGTAAAAATCATTTCATCATCATTCAATTGATGATGTGACTAATGAGCTCCTTTTGTGCAGAAGGCTCTTTCCATGAGACACATTAGATTTAATCGGTGTGCTGGTACACTCTCAGACTCACTTTGATTTCACTGGTTTTGCACGTCTGTGACTAAGGCCAAATGCTGATGCATGAAGAAAACACTGAGATCCAGAGATAACTTCCAGCCCAATATTTTGGATGCCAAAGGAGAATGTTAATGTTTCAGAGATAATCTAAGAAAAACACCAGCAGTCTGTTTAAACTGTTAATAAGTAAATGGAGAATGGTATGTTTCTGCTCTCATTCCAAACAGCGGCCAGCAGTTAAGTAGAAATATGCATATAGAGAGATCCTGAGTAAAGATGTTCCCCTATTCTCTGTCATTATAACAGCATAACTGAGAAATCTCGGGCACAGAGGCTGTACGTGAAAAATATAAAAGACCCAACCAAAAGAATAATTCTAGCTTCTGCAGTCACAACTTAAATAAACATTTTCATGCATTGAGTCATACCAATCAGTGGAAATCATTCTCGTGTGTTGTTGTGGAGTCCTAAAAACCAAAGAAATCTATTAAGAATTATCAAGGTATGATGTTTTGACTGAATATTTCAATACACAAAATTTGACCTAACATCTCCAAAGAAATAAAAAGACCTCATTCTGTAAGCAACCTAACCTTACTTAACAGAAGTAGCTCAAAATTGCCCAATAAGAGAGTTCAAATACTTAGGCTGTACAGCTGCTGTGTGCAGAAGTCACTCTCAAAGCCCAGGACCAGATGTCACGGTTCTTAGGGCATATCTGCTCAGAGGCAGGAATATTAGCTCAGGCCTAGTGCCATGCTCCCGAGGCTGTTCAGAATCCAGGCCAGAACTGGACGATGGCCAGCCTGCATGGAGTGCAAGCAGAAGGGTTTAGATATGTCTGAATATGTCCTGTCTCCACTAGCAAGTAATATGGATGGCCCAGTGAAGCGTTTCCTAGGATGAACGGGTCCTTAGTCTGCCCCACACTTGCTTCTGAAAAAAAAAATCAACCTGTGTATACAATTGCAGACGTTGAGTGGTGTGCAAGTTTAGCGTGGATCTCAAGCACACAGTTTGCAGAGATTACTTTTGAAATTGTGGTTTAGAAAAAGAACATGAAAAAATGTTTCAGAGTTGATACTATATATTTCCAGAGAACTGCAATAGTTATGCCTATGACCAATTTTTGTTTTCCAGTTCAAGATTGAAAAGTGGCAGATTGCACTTTGTAACAAGAGCAAACCTCAGAAGTTTATAAATGATTTGATGCAAGCACTTTATACACATGAATACATGGCTACACACAGCCTGACAGGTGCAAAGTCCTCCTCTTCAAGGGATAAAGCGGCGAAACCAGCTATGAATCAGAATGAAGTTCAGGAAATCATAGGTGATGGCTTGTTAACCTTATTCCGTGTGGCACTGACTTGACAGAGGGCTTTCTCTGAGGGAGGGGCTGTAATGCTTAACAGCTGGTCTACTCAGGTGATGGGCTGTTTCATATTTCCTTCTTCAGCTACTTACTTTTTTAACCCATCTGTTACAAATACTGTCAGTGAAATGCTAAGTAGTGGTATTTCTATTGTGTGAATTTTGTGGCTTTGACTTAAGTGGCTACTCAGCACAGTGATATTATACATTTGTTTGGCCTTTGAAAGGTCAATCTACAACAGTCAAACTTGGAGCATGACAAGTAACAATTAAAGAGAAGGCAAAGAGAGGACACATTTGGATCAAATTTAAAATAATGTCTGCTATATTCTGAAGTTAGTGAATGTTATGAATTCTGACATTTTAAATAGCGCTGGAGGCAAAATGAGACAATAAGTATAGAAGACAGGAATGCTGATCAGAGAAGCAAACAGAATTTGTTTTATGCTGAGGTTTAAGGAAAAAAATGTTTGGTGCAAAAAAGAGAAATCACTTCAGATGGAAGTAGCAGCTTTAAAGAAAACAGTATTTTGTGAGCACGTGAAGCCTGATTTTTATTTTTTTTTTCATACCTATAGCTTAATACTTGAACGACATAGCCTAAATTCCTGTACTAGAATCTGTTGCCCATTGCCATTCCCTTGGACTTCCCCAGTTCTCTCGGTTCCCTTACCAGCGTAGCTCCAGTCCCTGTACCTTAGTCCAGTTTTGTTGAAGTTGGCCAGCAGTTTCAAAAGTTACCAGTTGCAGAAACCTCTCTTCTTTAAGAACCTAGCTAGAGAAAAAGGCCTGAAGTCAAGAGAGAGAAAAGGAGAGAGTGTGTAGGGTAGTGAAAATATATTTAGAGGTGGTAAGATGAGACAATTTCAGAATGGTGTATGAGAAAAATTAAGATTTCATGGGATGTGAAGAACGGTTGGACTTGGATCTTAAGGGTCTTTTCCAATTCTATGATTCTATGAGCTACTAGTGACTTTTCTAAAGATGGATTCTGGGGAAGGGTCTAGGCAAAATTGAAAAGGGAAGCAGAGAAGATAATCAGGACACTGAATACAGCATACTGCGGAGAATTCAGTGACAAAGGGAAGCCTATAGAGAACTCAAAGAAGTTTGTTAAGGGAAATGAGAACACTCCTGAATTCAAATAGGAAAGTGTCAACACTGTACAAGAGAAAGAGAAAAATAAGAAGGAAGCCTGGGAGTTCTAGGACTGTAGAAAATGAGTTAGTAGATCAGATTATTTAAAGAAGATGGAAACTGTAAGACTTCAAAATGAAATGGAAGAGAAAACAAATCAAGGGAAGGAAAGATGATGGAGAAGAGGACAGCAGGAGATGCATTCCTGATGTCGAGTCCTGTTAGGTTTTTTGTGTTCAAAGAAGGTTAGCCAGGCAAACCAGAAGGGAAATGTTTGGGGAAGGAAACATCACCTGCAAATGCAAATCTATGAGCAAAAACTGTACGATTCATCGGCATGAGGACTGATGACGATAGGAATAGGACTTTGATCAAGAACAGAACAAAGGAAAAGAGGATGAGTGAATGCAAATCACTTACTACTGGAGTTCCCCTTGAGTTTGCCAAGAGCAGACACAGCAATACGGAAGGCACAGAGAAAAGCAAGAGCTGGCACATGAAAAATCTATGAAGTAGTGAGTGAAGACAGCAAAGTAGAGCTGAAGCTGAAGTAGCTGGAAATTTCAAAGATGCAATAAATGCATTTTAGATCATGCGTCTGTGGTTTCCCTGATTTGGAGACCTCATATATATCATCTCTTTATTTTGCAGGAATCACGAAACAGTTGTTTCCAAACACAGATGATGCTTTAATTAGGCGAATGATGGGACAAAAACTGAACAATTGCACCAAGAAGCCAATCTTAAGCAAAGACCTTAACTCAGGTGCTTTTCAGAAGCATAGCTTTTGGTAAGTCTTAAAAAAAAGAAGCCTGCAACTTATAATTCCATATATTGCCCTGTGTTAGCAAAATCTAAAAGCAATCTTAAGATTATGTGTTCATACATGCACTGCCAAGTAGGTAAATATTTTCATAACCTTGTACAAAAAGTACATAATACAGAAGCAGTCCAGCTTAACATTACAGCACAAAAAAAAAGTTGTTCCTTCTAGACAAAGCAGCAGAAGGCTATTAAATTACAGGAAGGGAGAACAGAAGTAAACACATGAAGTTACTTCGATCGATATGTCTTGGCATTATTTACTTATTATCCTCTGTAGGCTCTCCAGAGACCAATCAATACCATTTTCATGTTACCTGTTGTGCCTTAATTAACCCACAAGTAAAGATAAGGAAAATCACACCTCTTTTGTACCTACTGATAAAAGTACTGTAGGAGAGCTAAATTAGCTTTCTTTTACTGCCAGAAGAGTCTATATTATTGGGGCGGAGGAGTTATTAAGTAACATCTTGCTTATTTTGGGCATTCTTACCTTGTGAACAAGACTAGTCTTAAAACTGCTGAACTTCACGCTATCGTCAGTGAAGTCAGCTGTTTGCATAGTACTGTTTTCATATATACCAAATGAATGTATCACAGAATAGTTGAGGCTGGGAGGGACTTCTGGAGATTGGCTAGTCCAGTGCCTCCTGTGCTCAAAGCAGGGTCACCTAGACCAGGCTTCTCAGAGCCATGTACAGTTGGGCTGAATATCTCCAAAGACAGAGACTCAACAACCTCCCTGGGCAACCTGTGCCAGTGCTCGGTCACCCCCACAGTGAAAAAGTGTTTCCTCATGTTCAGACTCAGACGGCACCTCCTGTGTTTCAGTTTCTGCCCATTGCCTCTGGTCCTGTCACTGGGCACCACTGATAAGAGGCTCCACCTTTACACCCTCCCATCAGGTATTAACACACATAGATAAGATCCCCTTGACCCTTCTTGAGGCTAGAGTGCCAGCTCTCTCTGGCTCTCCTCAGGAACAGGATAAGAGATTAACAAGGAACAGGATAAGATATTAAAGTAAGTGAGACAGGGAGAACAGATTTGTCCTTACTTAGACTTTCCATACTAAAGTAATATTTTACTTCTTCCTAGTTCAGTTATCTTGTGCATGTTTTAAAATCTGTATTTGCAGCTGTAAGACACTTCATAACAAAATAAAAAAAAAAAAACAAACCAACAAACCAAACAACCAAACAAAACCACCCCAAGATATTTGACTATGTTATGTCACAGTTGTTTGAAAAGTAGCAGTGCTTTGCTACTAAAACTCCTCTCTAAGCCACCTGGAAGTACTCCATGGATCACCAGTGGTCTATGAATTACTACTTGAGAAATGCTCAGATAATATCTATTGGAAGAATCCACATGCACAGGTTTTCCTATCTGGAAACAATAAAGAAATGCACTAGCCTGGCTAAAATACAGTTTGCTGTGTTCATGCTTTTCTCCTAGAGATGAGAAGGCTTCATGAAACAAAGGTCCTCTGTATTTGTAACATACAGTGTGCATTGATTCATTGTAGTATTTTTCCTTGTCCTTGACACAGGTGGTAAAAATAACAGAAACTGAGACTCTTCTTTGAAAGTATTAAATATTTTATATTTTAAATTTTTATCTTCATCAGAGGAATCTGTAAATTTTGCTAATTCCTGAGTCTTCTCATCTACACAGTATTCCTGAAGTCTTGATGGGAGGATCTCGAGCTAGCACTATAACAATTCTGGGTTGTTTTTTAAAACTGCCTATAGACCTTTCAATTTAAACTTGATATCTTAAAAATGTCTTTATGTCTGTTATCGATAAGCGTTTATGTAAAATCCAGTCCAATATCCATTGAAACCAATGTAAATATTGCCTGCATAGTCTCTCTTGGATGGATGATTATCAGAATGTGTTTATAATGGATTCAATTTACACCTGTCCAGAATTTCCGCACTGTAAAAGCATTTAAGCACCTTGTAAGTAATCAAGATAGCAGTGGTGACTCCTTTAACTCATGTGACACAAGTTTTCTCTGTAAGAAAATCAGGAGAATTTAAAAGTGCTCATAATCTCACTGTTACTCCCTCAGTTCACCTTCCGGCAATGAAGTAGAAAGGGGTCAAGAGAAAATCCTGTTGTGCAGTACCTTTAGGAACAACTTACACACAAGCTACTAACTTTTAAACCTGATGATAGTGCAGTTTTGATCTCCTCCCTTGCTGCTCCTCCTTCCTTGCCCACCTCCTCTGCCTTTCCCCAGAATATGATTATGATTCAAGAAAAGGAATTTGGAGTCAAATCCAATGAGACAGACAAGTCACCATCTCAGATCCCTTAGGGTGAGGTGAAACAAGGAAAAGGGGAACGTGTCAGTGAAGAAGACTAGTTAACTAGCTAATAAACTCTGCTGCTCGGAAACTAAGAACAGTAGTAACTGCGCATTTAATGTTAGCATCTCAAGCTTGGTTATAAATTGTCTCAGCAGTGGTTCAACAGCTGCTCCTCAGGGCATTATCTCTTCGGCTGTTCCTCCCAGCACACAAGACCAGCAGGATGATGATTCACCAGCTGCTAATGCACAAATTCAGCAAAGTGACAGCCGCCTGGCTCCTCCACCTCCTACCCCTCAAGGTCAGCAGGAGTGTTTCAAACCCACTTCTTCAAAGGTGGAGTCTCATCTTGCCAGCAGCTCACCAGCGCCCTCTCCCAACCAGGGTTGCGGACAGGATCTCAGGAATTCAGACAAGGAATAACAGAAGGTATTTCATACTGGTTCAAATTCTCAACGGAGATTACAGAGTAGTACAAAATAAAAAAGAAATAATGCCTAAATGGGCCTAGCGACAGTGGACAGAGATGCTGCAAGCAGAATAGTTGCCTGAGAACCATTTTCTCAAACAAATGAAAATCCCACAGCCTAGAAAACAATGAAGGCATATTAATATCTTTGTCTTTAAGATATTATTAAATATATGCATGTTATGCAGTAATTCAAAAAATATAAACTTGTTCTGAAGTGTAAGAAGAGTTCCCCTTAGTTAGAAAAAACATTATTTCAAGTGATACCAAAAAAATAGATAAAAGGAACCTTAATCCCCTTGCTTTCACCTTGACAGCTGATAGAAAACTGTTTTACCAATGAGAGAAAACTATTGCATATTAATACAAAAACAAGATACAGAGGTATGAAAAAAGAATAGAAATATTTCCTAGTGAAATGAAGACTATGGCCAGCACAGGGTTAGAAAGCACAGGGCTGCATGAGCAGAAAAGAAGTAAAATAGATATTTAAGGATGCTGTTAACTTGGAAAGAAGAAAATGTTCTTAGGGCAATAAAACTGCAGCTCTCAAGATGTCTGCAGGAAAGCAGCAGCTTTTTTAACCTCTTAAGGTTGGAAAGGCAATGAAAGAAGCCACATTCCCTCTTAGCTCAGGGAAGAGTCCTCCAGGTTAGCCTGTTTGGATGTGGAGGCCATGGCTTCTCTTGCAGGCTTTGTGTTGCTGGTACTCTGTTGGTTTGGCAGCTCTAACTCCCTCTTCTTCCCTGAACATCAGGTCCATAGGATAAGGGTGACTGATCTCTCTGGTTGGGAAATGGAAGACAACCTCTTGGAAGCGACTAGTAAAGGGCAGAGTTGCCAGCCTCTAAACCTTGTTTCGATTTTGGTATGCTACCTCTTGGCTGGAGAGAGGGTGGGTAGGTGGAGCATTCCTCATGGGACTGGGACATGGAAAATCCCAGTAACTGGGGAGTTCCTCTTGAGATCTGGCACCACTTGTGCCAGGGAGCAGTTGGCAGTCACACACCCTGTAACTGCCTGAGGAAGAGGAGGGAAGGTACATTTTTTTCCAACACTTGGATTATAGCTTTCATGCTTCAGTGTACTTCTCCCAGAACAGAGAGTACTAACAGTGAAATCTATTTCATACGTAGCAAACAAGCAACTAAAGAATCAAGATGGGAAAAAAAAAACCAACTCAAACCATAAAGTTGAAGAAGACTAGCTTGATTTGAGGAGGATTTCTGTAACTCAGGAAAACTGAGGAAATAGAGGTAAATTAGAAATAGTATTAGGGTGAATTCCAGGGGGAAAAAAAATCTGAAGATAGGGTTAGCAGCCAAATAGCTCTAAAGGAAAGTGCTGCAAACCTAACTGTACTAGAACAATGTGCTAATAAAATGCACTGTGGAGAAGGCTTTTGGGTGGGCTGGGGTATAAACTAAGTGCCCTGTTAGCCTTTTTCATCTCTCATGCCTATCAATTCCTTGTAGATAGGATCAGGATGAAAGCAGGGATGAAATATGATGTAAGTTATAGCTCATGTTATTATCTACCATCCATAAAATGTAAAACAGAAGGATACTTGCTATTATGTAAATTTTGTATATGTAATTGTATGTACAGCATTTAAGAATGTATATAGTTAATCATATTTTTGAAGCAACTTTATATCAAATAAAATGAAACATTACTATGTCTTAGTTCTGTTTTATTGTCTTTACTCTCTTTTGGGCCTTTTCTTACACCAGCCTCTGTTGTATGCTCTAACATGGAAGGTTGGGGGTTTTTTCCCCTCTTTTTCTTCAATAACTGTTCTGAAGCCAGCTTCTGTAAAGCTTGTCATTTTTAGCTGGGGATGGGGTTGGCTCACCTTACAAAGGCTCTCTAACCTTAAAGTTGTCACAGCTGGCATTGCACTGTTGCAGCTGTTCTGCTGTTCGGGAGGTGTAGAAGCACTTGAGCAGGTCCACGGAGCCAAACACGAGTGGCTGCTCTCCTGTTGCTGGTGCAGCACCACAGATCACACTGTACAATGTGCTTTTCTAATCCTGCTGACTTGGTAAGTCATCAAAGGAAAACCAGTGGGGCTGGCAGCTCAACACAAAGAGCAAAGGAGGATTTTCATGGTAGGGTGAAGGGCCTACTCCCAGGCGTGGGCCAGGGAGAGAGATGGGTGTTCTGGACAAAAAGAGCAACTCAAGAGAAGATGACGTTTTAATCTTTTACCAAGGGGTAAAGAGGGAACAAGCTGCAAAGAGCCAGTTCCTTCCTCTCTCCCAAAGTATAGGACTGATGTTACCCCCTGGATAAAAGAAAATAAGTAACTTTTACACAACTACACAGTTAACAGAAAAGCCGTACTCCCTGCAGTACAACCAAAAAGGAAGAAAATACGACTGTTTTTCCAAAGTGACCCTGACAAACTCTGAGAACACAAAATTGAAGACCAGATACTCACAGATTAGAAACTTCAAAAGTAACAGAAAGGGAGAGGAGAGCAGAACAATCTAATGCTGCTCTTCCCAAAATTGGCACTAAAATCAAAATTAATTAGTGATATGTAAATGTGTGGTGTCACAAAGTGTAAAATTCTTCTGACACGAGTGACAGGAGGACACATTTTTCACATTTTTTTGGAGAAGGCTGATGGCTACTGCAGAAACACCCAACAGCTGTATGACTGTACAGCATTTTGTAACTGGAGATTTAGTACTGAAAAGGTAAGCAATACTCAAAGTAATAATTTGAACGATTTGTTTCTGTTACTGCATTTTAGATTGAATTTGAAAGTTACCATTGAAAAGAATTTGGTCATT